GTCCTAACTACTGAATTCCTAAATTCCTATCTAATGCGAAAAAGCAAAAAGCATACATTCCAGAAGGAAAATCCAAAATTCCGAGAGCCATCGGGTGGGGGGCTCGACAAAATTCGAAAAAGACTTTAAGGAAAAATTCAAAAGAACGAAGCAATTTCCCGCGGGATGTCCCCACCCAAAAGATCGAGACCGAAACGAAAGAAACGGTGTCAACATTTATTAATCGTGCGCGTGGTGGTGTGCCAGACATCCATCTGACCAATCACTCAACCGCCCGTCCCAGGATACACCCAACTCCGAACCCAGTCACCCGACAAGAAGCGACGAAAGAAAGACGAAAATGCAAGGGTWCTGATGCAATTTTCCCCCGATCCCGATTTCCCGTAATTGGCCCAATCTTTCCAGCTTAGGACCGCTCGTTGCAACCGCGCAGAAAATCGCGCGTTACAGAAAGTGGTTCGTCACATATGTGACGCCCAGGGTGTTCCAATATTAGCAAGCTCCTGCTTGCTTGTTGACACGTGTCGATTTTTCTAAACGATCGACACGCGGAGCACTTCCTTCTATGCCACTTACCGTTCGATTGCGTGTGGGCGTCATCCAACGTGGAAACACTGCTCTTCTACTAGGTCCTCAGATTGGGCTCTCAACGATTCAAGGACAAGATCTTTCTTGTGTCGTCGCCGCGACACGCATCCATTACCTGCTGCATCAGTAATTAACCGGGAGGGGAAAAGGGAGTCGGTGCATGGCGGCATGGCGGGGTGGAGGGTTTATGGGTAATGGGGGCAGGAGACTTTCCATTCCGACTACAGTCTCCGGGAGTTCTTGGTAACGAACAATGCGGTGAAAGCGGGGGAAGCGATTGCCAGTGCGAGGGAGGGACGCGAGATAATCGGGATAGAGGGTAGTGAGAGTCCGGAAAAGTGCCGCGCGGAAATGATCGCGATCTTCGCATGCGGGGATGGTCCCCGTTATTACGCAGTAAACCTCGATCATGTTGTGGCCTCGCCACACGGCACTAAGGAGCAGGACATGGAGGCAGAAGGCTGGGACAGCGCATCGAATGGAGGGGTGGGGATGCACCACTATAGCGAGGCGAGCCGCGTAGAAGTGGCGGAAGGTGTCGCGGGGAAACAGATTGGAGGGGAACGTGATGGGGGTAGTGAGCTGGCGGAGGGTGAGGTAGTCAAGGGGACGGCAAAAGAGTAATCGGGGACGAAGGCCGATCGCCCGTATCGGTACGTCGGCGAACTAGGGGACGGGTTGGGGAGGAGGGGGATCGGCTCCGTCGCCGCGCTGATGGGGTCGAAGTCGTGGCCGCAAGGTCGCCATCTTCAGGCCGGGGCGGCTCCGGATCTCGGTTTCGGGTTGTGGTGAATCTGTAGGCTCGCCGCGCCTGCGAGCTCTAACTCCTTCCCGACCGCGATCTCTTCTCTTTTGCGGGCCGCTTCGTGATCTTCGGCTTCTGTACCCGTACGCAGCGCTTCTTCTGGCACGGCTTCCCACTCTGATCCAGTAGTCTCTTCGTCATGCTCCTCTTCTCCCTCCTCGTCTTCTTCTTCTTCTTCGCTCTGTTCCCCCTCGCTATGCTCACTATAGCTTCCTTCTTCGATGGTTTCGTCTTCTTCACCGAGCTCTTCGTCGCTATCCCTGCCTTCTTCCAGCCCGCCTTTGCCTTCGTCACTCTCGGCACTCTCTTCCTCCTCCTCTTCTTCTCGAATGGCCGCAAGCTGCTCCGCCGTAGGATAGCGGAAGAAGGCAAGATCGCGAAACGTTCGGGGTTTCAAATACTGTTGCTGTGACGGCGGGATGCGCTCTGCAGCCCCCTCTACACAAGTCGACCACTAAAAATAAGGCGTCGAGGTGCGAGAAAGTACATGGGGAATGGGATGCCCGTCGTCTTGCGAGAAGATGTCGAGAGGGAGATCGTCCGGCAGCTGCACTACCGGGATCGTGAGTTCTTGCGTGATGAGTTCCTGATGACCGGGCCGCACTGTACCGAATAGAAACGCCAGAAGCTCTCCCTCCACGTTGGTTCGCCAGGCCTGGATGAACAGCAACTCCAGGCACTCTATGCAAGGCGGGTGCGCTTCGTCCTAGATCCACGCCAGACATACTTCCACCAAGCACAGTGAAAGCTCGATGAAGTCTTCGCGCCACAGGACCCAATGGGGAGGATGGATATCGGGGACGGTAAGGGGCTTTAGACTGTAGGAAAGGCGAGGATGGATGTCGGACTGCCTGAAGGTGGGGAAGGTGGAGGGGAGATCGAAAACGGAGACCGGAGAGAGACTCATTGGGGACGTGGGAAGGGAACGAGGACCGGGAGATCTGTCGGCGGCTCGCGCTGATACATCCAAAGACCGTCGTACTCGATCGCTCATGTCGTTGCGACTGTATCTCCGAGACGAGCCAGAAGCTGGGTCCACTCGGCGACCAGGTCGTTTGCCCACGCGCGCAGTGACGCCTTCACCGCTGAATGTCGTAGAGGAAGGAGCGTGGAGATTTTTATCACCCCGGAAGTTGATGACGACCGATATACGGCTGACCCCTAGCACCGCTCGCTGATGGACTGCTACTGCTTCGGCCAATACCACCACGTCCATCCGCCCTTCGATTCTGAATACCGCCGCAGGGTACACGCCTTCCGTGCAGAAGAAGTGCGCAAGCCGCCGGAGATCTGGACTGAGGCAGGGATGATAGACCTGCCGGATCGTCAATCGATCACGGGGCGCGAGCGCTGCTTCGCTAAGGGCTCTCTCCTCTAGAAAACTCATGGCGATGGCGATGGTGATGGGGGGGCAGACAGGAAGCAAAAGGAAGAGGGAGATGGCAAAGAGTCAGAGTCGTCATTTTCGGCTTCCTCAGAAAGAGAGACCGAGGGAGAAGGAGACGAAGCAAAGGGGAGGAGACGAAGATAGGACACGTGGCGTGTGATCGGACGAGCCGATCGACTGCCAGAGACTTCAGGGGCGAGACGCACGGTGTCCACGCCATTGGGGCCGAGCTCGATCACACGATATCGCCCGAAGAATCATTGCGCTAGCTTACCCTGGCGAGCACATTTCCTCACCTGCACAACGTCCCCCAATTTGTACTGGGGCCGCGGACCCGCATTCCCATTTCGGGCCTCGTAGCTCCAGACTTGTCGGCCCTGGGCTAGTTCGGTCATTTTCTGTCGCTTTCGGGCTAGCCTGGGCAGCGACCGTTCCATTAACTCTAGGTGCCGTTTGGCCTTGTCCCGATCCGTGGCCGTGGTGGGCCGTCGGTTCAGTGTAGACTCATCCGGGAGGCTTGGTATCGAAACGCAAGTGACACTATTGGTCCTTAATTGGAAGGGGCTTAGCCCCGTCGATTCGTGGGGCGTTTCGCGATGGACCGCCAGGATGTGATCGACGATATCGGGCCAAGGTCTCGGATCCCGTGCCGCGATGTTTCGTCGCAACGCTGTCTTTATCACCCGGTTAGCGTTTCGACCAGCCCATTGGATTGTGACATGTGGGGTGCAGTGTTCCGTATGGCGACGCCATGTAGGACCAGGTTCCTTAGCACTTCTCCCCTGAATTCAGCCCCGTTGTCGGTCAGGATCTCTTCCGTATCCTGATGCATCCCGAGAAACGGTTGACATATCGTGCGATTTCCGTGGCTTGCCGCGTGCGACAAAGATATGCTTCGATCCATTTCGAGAAATGGTCGACAAATACGAAGAGGACTAATATTTGCAGCTATTAGGCCCAGGGGGCACCACTATGTCAGTAGTGTCCATGCTCACTCTTTGAAATGGCCGTTCAACAACCGTGGGCACTATCGACCTTGGTGGCTGGATCGGCGCTTTGTCGGCGGCGCAGACCTGACAGTTGGCGACGATGTATTTCACATCGTCGCGGATATTGGACTAGTACCACTCATTTTTGTCGATAGCGGACTCCGTGATTCGTACAGCAAAATGAGCCGGCGTTTCCTCGTGGGCTGTCTTAACCCAGTCATACCGCATAAACGGATGCGGTACCACCATCCAAATCCCGCTGCCGTCCGTTTTCCGTTTTTCTAATCTACCTTCTATCCACTGATAATCCCGAGCCCTTTCGTTGGCCCTCCTCCGATCTTCCTTGGTGATATCCTGGAGGGGGTTATCTACTAGGGTGGCAATTAAGGCAATATCCGTCCATACTTCGACCCTTCTAAACTTTCGGGTCTTTTCCAATCCTTCTGACGTGGCATCCGAAAAACGAGCGCCGGTCGGAATGTTGTCGGTCCGGCACAAGGGGCACAACCACGGCTTACTATCGTTCCTGTATTGGATGCACGAGCCATGGGCTCGTGCAACTCACTGTCGGCAATCTATCCAATCCGCGTATCCCTCCCCGTTAGGACGCGTGGAGATCGAATAGACGCGGGAGATGGCTTCGCAAAAATAGCAAAATTTGTCAGGTAGGGAGAGGAGAGACGAGGAGAAAGGGGGAGAAAGAGGGGTAGTGGGGCTACCTCCATCACCCATCGCCACCGTTTTGCTTCTTGCCACGTGGGAAAAATGCAACTTGTCCGTACTTCGGTTCGTTAGTCAAGTCCGGCTCCTTCCACTGTGTAATTTCCTCGCCCTTTGGTACCTTGGCAGGTCGATGCAGACGTGTCAGCCCGTCCGCATTGCCGTGTCACTCTGTCTTTCGATGGACAATGTCGAAGTCATATTCTTGTAGTCGCACCGCCCATCGGCCAATCATGCCCGTGTAGTTGGAGAGTTTCTTCAGCGCCAGCAGAGGCTCGTGATCCATTATGAGGCGAAACTTCTATCCGTAGAGATACGGATGGAAGTGTTGGATTCCCCAAACTACCGCATAACACTCACCCTGAGGTGCGGAGTCGTTTCTTCGCTCGTCCGGTATGGTTCATGACGCGTACTCGATGACGTGTTCGCGACCGTCGTTCCCCTTCTGCGCTAGAATAGTGGAAATAGCTTCCGGTTGCCAGTCCGTGATGAGAATGAACTGCTTCGAGGGGTTCGGTCGAATCAAAATAGGGGCTGTTGCCAGAGTGTCCTTGAGGGTTGCAAAGGCCTGCTGGCACTCCGCGTTCCAGCTGAGAGGCTGGTCCTTCCGTAACAATTTCGTTAGTGGTCGTGCAATCGCGGCAAAGCTCTTGATGAAGCGCCGATAGGACGACGCTAATCCCAAGAAGGCTCGAACCTGCGTTAGTGACGTGGGAACCGGAGCTTCCTTCACCGCCGCAACTTTTCTCGAGTCTGGCCGCAATCCTCCACGTGTCACGACATAGCCCAGAAACAAAATTTTCGAAAGAAAAAATTCGCTCTTCTCAAGCGCAATCTTGAACCCAGCGTCTCTCAATGCACCCAAGGTCCATTCGATGTGTTGCACGTGCCCGTGATAGGTCTCCGAATAGACCAGGATGTCGTCCATGTACACGATCACGCAGAAGTTAATCATTCCCTGCGTCAGCCGTGTCTTGTTGACGAAGTTTTGGAACGTCATGTTCATCGCTCGCTGAAACGTGGCAGGCGCATTGCAAATTCCCATCGGACACCGAACCCACTGCCACGTGCCCTCAAACAACACAAAGGCCGTTTTTGGCCGATCTTCTTCCCTTACCAAAATATGATGGAAGCCATGCTGAATATCAAACTTGCTGAAATAATTAGCGCATCCAATCGCATCCAACAGATCATCAATCCGGGGGAGGAGATACACATCTTTGATTGTGATTTCATTCAGCTTACGATAATCAATGTAAATGCGAATCGCTCCGTTTTTCTTCGGTACTAACACTACGGGAAAAGACCAAGGTCCGGTAGCGGGTTCAATCCAACCGCTGGCTTCGAACTCCCGAATTCGTTCGAGAGTCTTTTTGCGTTCGATCAAGGAATACCGATAAGGTTTGCAATGAATCGGGGAGTGATTTCCTGTCTGAATTTCATGTTGAATTACTAACGACAGCCCAATGTTAGTGTCTGACACACTAATCGCTCTTTGATATTCCGTTAGAATATCCGCAATTACCCGGTGGATGTCATCCGGCACATACAGTGGAACGTGTAGTTGGAAGAGGTGGTCCCAGATCCGAACGTCAATCTGTTTCGTTTTTGCCTGTTTTGCCAAGTCGGGTGGGGGCGCTGAGATGAATGAGTGGTCCGATCGCCAGGAGAACACCGTGGCCATCATCTGGGCATCTTCTTCCCGGATGGCCACGTGTCCTTCCGAGGTAATCCCGTCACAAACATCCTGCCATGGCACTTCTTTTGTTGCAATCTTTATTCCCAGTCCGTCTGTTTTTGCTTCGAAACGCCAAGGGGGTTCCAGAGAGCTTGCCTCCGCTCCCAGGCGTAACAATCTCACTTCTTTGGCCGATGTTAGTAAGGACTTGGGTAGATCCGTAATATCACAGTAGTGCTTCTTGTCGCTGTACCGGGCGAGGAGAGGGGTGATTTCTTCGTACAGAGTTTGAGGGGGTTCCAAAGAATCGACCATCCTCGAAATCTGCACGAGGGGCTCACCCAAGATCATCGCCTTGGTCCTTTGAATTCTTCGGCTGGTCGTTCTCGCTATCGTTTTGGGTGGAGGGTAACAAACACGTTGTCGTGCCAATTTCAAGATTTCCGGATCATCTTCGTCACTGCTTTCCGCCTCATCAGTTGATGACTTTTCCTCTGCGGGTTCATCCCAGGAGATCATGCGGAGAGTCCCTGCCATCATCGGCGAAACTCGCGGAACCGCGTTAATGGTAGTGCGAAGGGTCAATCGCATGGGCATAGCGTAGGGTTTTCCCCCTGTATTTCGGAGGACGATCGATCGTCGTTCGAAGTCCAGGTTTGCTCGTGGCGCCACAAGGGCGGGAAGTCCAAAAAGAACGTCGTACGTATTGACATCTAGTACTACGACTTCCCCAAATGCGTGCACTTTACCCAAGCGGAAGGCGACATTGGTCATTCTTCCCACAGTATTAATCCTTTCTTCGTCAGCCGAAACGAGCTGATCTTTCTCAGAAAGCATGATCAGGTCGTTTTTCCTACCTGCCCTTTCGACCACTCTCAGTGAGATAGTCAACACAGCTGCTCCTGAGTTTATAATGGCGTTGTAAGGAATTCCCCAAATTTGTATATCGCACTCAGCGGATTTCCACGGAATGGGTTTAATCCGTAAGAAATGATCGTCTTTCTGAATTAAACCCACCCGTATCGGATCCGAAGTACTTGCGGGGTTTTCTTCGGGTGCGGGGCTTTTGGCTTCCGCGTTCGAGGTTCGGGCAAAGGCGAATCGCTTTCCGTTCGCTTTGCAATGCTGTAACATCCGCTCGTTGGCTTGCTCGGAGATCGAGAGTAGATGACCAATCGGAAGGGAAATCCGATGGTCCAAAGCTCGGATGATGTTTAATACATCGATCTCCCCTGTGACGAAGGTGGGTCTTCCCGATTCCATTTCTCCTAGAGACGGTCGCCACTCCGCCACCTCTTTTGGCTCTGGCGCGGGTTTGATCGTTCCGATCATTCCAAGCCCCGGATATCCCAGCGATACGTACTGATCTAGCGGAATTAGCTCGACGGCCTCTTCCGTGGTGGCCAGGGCACTTCCCCCACCCTCTACTTCTTCCATCAAAGCTCCGACTCGTCCAGGCCCGTTGGCGATGGGAGCCGCAGCCATAGGCGCGACCCCGATCCGCTGTTGCGGGGGTCGGTGGGGGCAATCTCGGTCCAAATGCCCTGGCTGATGACAAGCATAACAGACATTTAGATTATTTGCGACTCCTCCGAGCGCGGGTGACGGAGCTAATCCCTGCTGCATCGGAGGGGCGCGTACCCCAATGGGCCGCATATTCCTCATCATGGCCTCAAGCCGAGCATTGTGCTCTCGCTGCTCTTTTTTGCTTTCTTGGATTAAACTAATCAAGGTTTTGGTTAGTTTCAAAATGGTCGCTGATTCGTTCGATCGTACGGGAGCCTCAATCGGGGGCGGGGTTAATGCCCTAACAGGCGGGGGTATCATAGGAGCAGAGATGCTCGGGGTCTCGCTTAGGATTACTCGTTTAGGGCATTTTTGTTCCATATAGGTGACAGGTCCTGATACAAATCCCATGTTTTCAAATTTGTTCTGCAAGGCTGCCAGCTCCGCTCTTGCTCGTGCGAGCTCGGTCGAATCTCCGTCTCTAGGGTAGTCTTCTCCTTCCAGGAAATTCGTCGCGAACTTCCGTTCTATTTCTTCTGCAGCGGCCATAATTTGCTGTAGCGTATGAGTGATGGGGGAAAATTGCTTTCGCAACTTAGCCATTATTGTTCGGCTGCGAAGTCCGTCAATGAACAGGTCTCTCCCTACTTGCTCACCTCGCTCAGTTTTCACGAACATCCTTTAGAATCGGTTTCGATATTCTGCAACGGATTCGAGAAGTTTTTGCACGCAGTCCTTGATCATATATAGTGCTTGCTCGGGATGAACGTAGTCAAATCGGTTCATGAAATCCCGTTCAAAGGTCGGGAGGTCAACGCATCCATAGGTACTGAACCAATGATGAGCGTCTCCTCCCATTCGAGCCGAGATGTTGATCTGCGCTTCATTGTCCGTATACTGTTGGGCTCTAAGCGTGGCCAGCCATGCTCCTGCGAGATGGTGTGCCGGATCAAATAGATAGAGATCTGGTGGCGTCATGGGAGCTCGTGCACGTGGGGCGGGTTGATTTGGGGGATTAGCATTCGGCTGCGGGATCGGGTTTTGCACATTGGCGGCCATATTGGCTGCTTGTCTGTTAGCTGATCTGCTTCGGGTGTCGATAGGGTCGCGTCTATGCGCGTTCCGAGGGCAAGGTCGCCCTCGGTTAGCCAGGTCGCCTAATTAACGTGCTATCAATCCTAAGACCCTAGCCACGTGTCGGGCTCCAATACCAACCTCACGCCCAGCGTGACTTCCTGATCGGAGTGGGATGTGGGCCTGGAAGTGCGAAAAGGGGTGTGCCAAGGATTTTTGGGAAAGTGGGGGAGTCTTAGGGGTATGAATG